AAGGTTACAGAGATCAGTGTGCACGACATGTCGCACCATCCTTTGATCGGTCTCCAGCTGCAAGGACCATGATAGTTCACACGGGATCAAATAATACTAAAATTAAACGTCAGTCTGGGCAAGTGCTGAAATAAACAGTGATCTGTTAATCAGGTGTTCGCTTCTGTATCAAACACCAGGATTAACGGGAACAATACTTTTATTCTGGCTGCTCTGGAGGGCGAAGAAAATTAGTTTTCTATCATTTTGGGGGGGGGGGGCCTTAAACACTTAAGGACATATTTTGTGTTCTTTGTTTTCTGTCTGTTTACATTGCCCATAGTTCTGTTAGGGTTCATAACTTGGCACAGCCTTGTAATTTTAACACTGTGTGATATCAAAGTAATAAGGCACTAGTAGTAAAAGTGACAGGTCAAACCCCATTAAAAACTCGTATAGCATCATGAAAATCCTTCACCTGAACATAGGTTTTAAGACCTGACTTGGAAGTGACCGACTCCGCAAGCCTGACTTTAGTCCAGCAGGTTTTTCCAAGAGCCTCGTGTCCTGTCTGTTCTGTATTAGTTTCATCCGGGCACCTGTAACAGAGAAAAGACCTCGAGGCACATACTGGTGCATATGGTGCTAAGAGTTCAGAGATGTGGCTGGGAGCAGAGCCATTAAAACAAATCAATAAAAGCTTAAAATCGATTGTAAAAAAATCCCAAACGGGAGTGATGTGATCCCACCTCGTTACTCCAGCTAAAAGCCTGGCAGCTCACATCTCTACAGTCTGCAGTCGCTTAAGAGTTTTTGTGAAGGCAAGCACAAAGAAAGTTACAGTGTCTTTAAACATTAAACTAGAACGTATTTGTAAAATATTTCCAAAATAATGAAAGAAAACGTGACATGTGTTTAGTTCATGATGTGACGTTCAAAGATTAGGTCCCCCGTCGAACTGGAGATTTGAGATGTTTGAAATTTTCCAGCACGGATCGAGCGGACTGCAGAATGTGTTCAGCCATGATCCGAGACCAAATCACAACAGTTACAGCAACTTCATGCTTTTTTTGTTTTTGCCCCAGACCTCCCACAGTCCAAAGACCAGGATGTTAGGTTAATTTATGTTTCTGTATTGGTCTTTAGTGTGGATGTGAGTGGCTGGTGTAACTGGCGATACGTGCAGGGTATACTTGGAAACAGTTCAACCCCCCTGCGTTCTTGAATTTAAAATGTGGTAAGGAAAATGGATGGATTGAATAAAAACATCAGCTACTGTTGTTTCAGCACTTTTAGAGCTCAATTTGTACAAACAAACTGGATGTTGACCAATAAACATTCAGACACTGCAGTCCTGAAATGGCTAAGCTACGTGAAGTAATTTGAAAACCACAATAATGGAAACTTTCGACTTCCAACTACTTAAATAACCACATTTATTCAGTCCTGAACAAAAATGTTCCTCTACTTTTTGAAAACAGATGCTGTAGCATAACAAGAGTCACTGAAATGCCTCAAAAATGACCCGAAACCCACTCAGAAGTCAAAGTTTTTACACACATGAGCCGTCCGATGCTTACGTCTGGGACAATCTGGTTGGGCTAAATTCCTAAACTATCTTGTATCATTTTAATCAGGCCAAAGCCACATGATAACTTGCCAGTTGTTAGTTCCCTGCTGCCCTCGGTTACTCTGAGAACCTTTTTTTGACTGTGGTCAGTTTGGCAAATGCTCCAAATATCAAAACCACGACACTGAAATGACTGCACACAGTCCAAATATTTCACCAAATATCGTTTCCATGATGCTGATACATAATCAGCATCATGGCCGTGATGCTGATTATGTATCAGCATCACGGCTGTGATGTCTTCTGGCAGACACTTTTTACGTGTTTTTGGGAATCACTCTGATTCATCTTCATTCTTGTGTCCATATTAAGTTCAGGATTGAGGATGCACAAGAGGAGCTCGTACAGCTGTGCTGTGTATTTTTGGAAGCATGTGCAATTTTTGTTATTTTAGCTGTGTGCCAAAACTATTTCAAGTTACGGTTGTGTGATGAATATGGGCCTAAAGTGCAAAGCTTTAGCTTTAATTTCAGGGGCTGAACAAAAGAAGATGGCATGAACACTAACACTAGCATTTATATAATTTTAAAAACATGGGAGCACCGTGCCAAATGTAAATAAAAACAGAAAGCAATGATTTGTAAATCTCATAAACACATTAGAACATAGGAAACATATCAATTTCTTATTTGAGCGACAGCCTGTAAACATCTGGGAACTGAGGAGAGCAGCTGCAGGACTTTTGGGAGAGAAATATTGTCCCGTTTTTGTCTGACACAGGATTCCAGCTACTCAGCAGTCCTGCATCTTCCTTGTCCAAATGATCCAAATGTTTTCAGTTGGTGAAAAGTCTGGACTGAAAAAAGAAGAAGAAGAAAAAGAAAAATATGTTGAACTTTATGCGCTGCCACTCCTCTCTTGAGCACTGATGGTGCCTTTCCAAGCTCCCAGTTCCAGAAGCACTGATGCACCCACATACCATGAGAAGTGCAGGACGCTGAACTGAGTGCTGAGCCAGTTTGCCCCTCTCAGTTTTGGTCCAGAGGATGTGGCGTCCAAGACTTCCAAAAAAGAATTTCAAATTTCAATTCTTCTGACCACAGAATAGCTTCCCACTTTCTCTCAGTCCATTCTAAATGAGCTTTGGCTCAGAGAGGATGGCAGTGTTTCAGGATCACGTTCACACGCTGTTTCTTGTTTGCATGATGGAGATTTAACCTGCATTTGAGGATGCCACGGTGAACTGTGAATGTCTGGAAGTGACTGCGCGGTTATTTCTATCTTGTCTGTTTTTAATGCAGCACCATCTGAGAACCTGAAGATCACGGGCATCCAGAATTGATTTTTGGTCTTGTAAATGGCACACAATCTTTTAATGATATTATGCGCTGTAGCTGATTTTAGGTTGAAGAATATCATTCCTTTTTTTTTTT